TACTAGTCAAATCAAACCAAATGAGCGCATGCGCACCAAATGGATGTACCAAATTGATGATTAAATGACTGAATTTAGTCCAAAATCAATAGTCAAGGAGATGATTTATGAGCTACAAACTTGAATTGTAATATAGAGGCCAGGTTATGCACAACATAATAGGTGTCCAAGGCAGATATCTCGTGATTCCTTTTACCACCTGACCGACAAATTGACATATATATATATAGAGAGATGAAGTGCCCACAATTCTTCATTATTTCTTCTGTATCAATATTGGCTATTGTCATCAACCACATTTGTCACTATTTCAATATAGTTATAATTAGGTGATAGATTGATTGAAAGGAATTGAAAAAGTGATAAGTGATGATTAATTCAGCTGTTGATTATGATTCATCGGAGTTTAGTAAAATAAAACACATGTTAATTTTATAATTATTATAAATTTTTGAGTTTGCAATATTTATTAAATTAACAACACCTCTTTTCCCTTTATTTTTTTAGCAATCATCAACCGTTGATCTAACCAAATTGATGAATCAAATCAGTCATCATTTTTTACTTGAGAGTCTGTTCTCACCTGAACACTTCCTTACATAGAGAGATAGAGAGGAGTTCAAATAAGAACATGATCTTCCTGTAAAAATAAAAAAAAAATTAAAAAAAAAAAAGTAAATTTATTGATTAAACCAAAACTTAGAATTCAAAATTTGATGTTTGACAACGATTGAACTTGGTCTTTTCATTAAAAATCATAACTTATATATCTTTTTTTTACCTAACCCAAACAAACCAATTATTGCCTAGTCATCACTTGTATATACTATATAGTATTAAAAATTTTAGTGAATATAATATATAGATAATAAATTTACAATCGAATTATCAATTTAGAATTTAAGGTGAGCCAGAAAAATATACAATTTGATATCAAAATCGAACCCATGCAAAAATATTTGATTTAAAAAGAGGGATCAAACCTACGAAACAAATTATACTATATTCCTATGGACTACAATGTAGAACACTAATAAACATTCATTTTTAATGTACTGAAAATTCATTTTTTGGTAGTATAACTAAAAATAAACTTTAGTGCACAAAAAATGAGCCTTTAAAAAATGAGCATTTAATGTACTAAAAATAAATATTCACTTTACTAATAATGATCCTTATGTCAATGGTTCATCTTTTAAGATGGACCAAGGTCCATAGTATATATAATGATTAGATCTATAGGTTGCGAGCAAATTTTACTGGGCCGTAGCCCACGTAGCAACGTGAACCATGTAGAAAAACGACATCATTTGATTTTTTTTTCCATTAATAATGGTAGACGACAAATTCCGATATGGTCAATGTAACAAACTCTCTCATTATTCAGTTTAATTTTATATATCACGATAGTTTCATTACAACACTACTAAAGCATCATTCTAATTCAACTATATAGTTTCATTCGATAATACACACCCAATATGTGAAACTTGCTATTCGGTTTTATTAAATTATACATACTGTAGTTTTATTACAACATCACTAAAATATCATTCTAATTCAACTAGAATTTCGTTTGACAATATACACTCAATATGTGAGACATGTTATTTAATTTTATTTTATGCACACTATAGTTTCATTATAGCATTATTATATTAAAAAAAAATTGCGTGCGCCATAGAACGTAATGATTGTAGTTTCTTTTCAATAAAAGAAATGCTGACGTTTTAGACCATGGTTCATATAGTTGTGTGGATCATGGTCCACTATATAATGATTGATGGATTGCATGTAACCCATCGAAAAGTCTTGGTCCGCACATTGAGATGACATGTAATATGTAAATAAATATACAATCCAACTACCAAACAAAAAATTATATATACCTAACAATTTGTTAATGAAAGAGCTAAATTAAACTAAACTAAACCAAGTTATTTAAATTATGACGAAAAAATTTAACATAGTACAAATTTGATTAAAAAGATGTAACATAATGTCTAAATTGATACTTTTTTGCTCATTTCATATCTTATAGCCCATAATTACACTTCGTACTACATACTATATATCCTTCTTCTTGCTCATTTCCTATCTTATAGCCCATAATTACACTTCGTACTACATACTATATATCCTTCTTCATTGGAGCAGATCCATTACAACTAACTTACGACTATATAAAAGCCCAAACAAACTTAAAGCAATCGTTATGCTGGGAACCGTGTATACCTTGCAAGGTAGACACAATTCTATGTTCATAATTACTGAATTATATGTTCATAATTATAAAGTTATATATTCATAATTATTAAACTCTATTCACAATTACAGAACTCTATGTTCATAATCACTGAACTATATGTTCATAATTATAAAGCTATATATTCATAATTTTTGAACTTCATATTCACAATTATTGAATCTCTATGTCCATAATTACAGAACTATATGTTTATAATTATGTTCACAACTCTATGTTCATAATTAAAGAACTTTATATTCATAATTTTTGAACTATATATTCATAATTATGAACAGTTTTGGAACCGTGTCCACCTGGACCACCTTGAAAGGCGGACACGATTCCACAGCATAATTTGCCAACTTAGAGGGCAAATTATGCTCCAACCGCGTGCACCATGCATGGTGCATACAAAATTTGACCCATAATTTCTATACTATAGATCCATAATTTATATACTATAGATCCATAATTTTTATACTATAAATTCATAATTATTGAACTCTATATTTACAATTACAAAACTCTATGTTCATAATTTTCAATGTTCATATTCCAAATGGTTGAACTCTGTATTCACAAATCACTGAACAATATGTTCATAATTTAATAATTATACATTTTAGAGATTATGAATCTATAGAAATTATGAATCTATAGTATAGAAATTATGAATCTACAGTTTAGAAATTATGAATCTACAGTATAAAAATTATGAATTTATAGTATAGAAATTATCGATCTATAGTATAGAAATTATGGATCCAATTCCATTTGCACCTTGCATGGTGCACACGATTGCACAACATAATGCTCCAACTTAAAGGCAATTTATAGCGTGGACCAAAGTGCACTGTGGACCCTGATCCAATACACAAAATTTGACTTCATAAAGTACATAATTCATGTTCATAATACACATACACATAAACACGATATAATGAACATGAATTTTGTGTATTATGTTAAGTGTTTATGTGTCCTCAGTTATATAATACACAGAATTCATGTTCATAATGCACAGAATTCATGTTTATTATATCGTGTTTATGTGTATGTGTATTATAAACATGAATTCTGTGTATTAGACCGGGGTCAACAATGCACTGTAGATCCTGATCCACAATATAACAATTAAAACTTAAAAGATGACAAGCCATAGTATCTCTAGGATTTACACACTATTTGAGAATCGATCTAAGTTCTAAAACACTAAGGGCATGTTTGGTTCGCTAAAAAATATTTTCTGTGAATTTAAAGAAAATTGACTTTTTCTTTGTTTAGTTCATGAAAACTATTTTTAATTAGAAAATATTTTCCTCAAGAATGAGGAAAACATTTTTCATAACCTCCCTTGGTGTTTTGTTTTTCATAGAAAACAAATAAGACAATTATGCCCTCACCAACTTTTATTAATTACCATTATTATTGTTGTTATTGTTATAATAATAATAATAATAATAATAATAATAATAATATTATTATTATTATTATTATTATTATTATTATTATTATTATTATTATTATTAATGTTAAACCAAGTAGCTAGTAATTAGTTTTTAGAAGTTAAAATAATATGTGGAGCTAGTTGCTTAGAACATGGGATTGCAGGCAGCAGTGCGTGGATCATGGTTGCAATGCATGGAGCATTATTTTCCCTATTTTCTAGCTTTACTAGTTTATCCTTCACTATAAATAGTTTTGTTATCAAGCTTTTTATTCATCAATTAAATTCATTTCTCTCTCTCTTTCTCTCATATATAAATAGATATTAAATATTTAATATATCTTATAGATATATTATATTTAATATAGATATATTATATTTAATATATCTACCGTTATCATTATTGTGTAAGAATATAATTGTCTTTATACTTATTATTACTTACAATTCCGAATTCAACCAAACAATGAAAATAATATTCCCAGAAGTATGACATGTACACATGAAAGAGAGCGCCTCTAAACTAAACAATTCAAACTCCCTCGAAAATGTATTGTATATATAATGGTGCAAACCCACTTCTCTTTCCAATGTAGGACAAAAGACTACTTCCAAATCTTCCCAACTCTATTTTCCAACTCACATGAGTCTATTTTAAAATCAATTTCTCATTCACTAATTATCCATTTTGAGCTTAAAATATATCGATTTCTCCGTTTCACCACGAATAACACAAATTCACTTTGACCCGGACCAAATCAAAAGTAGACCCCACATTATTTGTACCACAAAATAACCACTTAAAATTACCATTTTAACTAAAAGTTCCAACAAAAGGTATATCATTTGAAATACAATTTGATACAAATAATTTGGATCAAGTAGATTTACCTAGTTGAATATAACTAAAAGTTTAATATAGATGCAGATTAGATATTATCTGTACAATGTTTCAAAAAATATAATATTATCTGTACAAGGTTTTCATTGTCAATAACAATGCCGAATCTAAATTTATACTCCATAATGAATACAGTTTACATTTTTACCTTAATCTACTACTAATGTCTAGAAAAAATGTTATTTTAATAATACCGAACATTATTACAGTTCATTCAATGTAGCATGAAGATGAAACAATAAATTATTCAAGTACAACTTTTTATTAATGAAACAATAAACATTTTGTGGTCACAGATTAATATAAAAATTTTGTATTTGGGAGAACACCCACCCTGGTAAAAATTGCAAACTGATCTCGACCATTGATCTGGAGAGGATCAATGATTGTAAAACAAAAAAATCTAGAAAAAACGTGAGGACATTTTTGTAAATATTTCAAAGTTTAAAAGTGCATCGTGCACAACTACAAAGTGTATCCGATGATATGTAAATATGCTCTCAAAGAATACACTTCATATATCACTAGGTGCACTTTGTTTAATGATTATTGCACTTTGTAGTGTTGACCAATGCACTTCAAAGTTTGAAATTACCAAAATGTCACTTCTTTGTTCCATATTCCCTAGCTTTACAGCCGTTATCAACGGTTGAGATCAGTCCACAATTTTTACCTGGGCGGTGGTTCAGTAAGATTCAAGCTCAATAGTCTATTGCATTGGAAAAAGGGTCAACTTCCTACTAAGCTTAATTCAGAATCAAAAGATTTGTCTGTATTGAGTTGGGGAAGTTTGTGAGATCATACAAAGAATTAACACAATATCACTTACGCGATTCACTTTCAGAAAGCTTGTCCCTAAGATCCTTGAGAGCAGTCACGACATCCGGATCAAGATTGTGTTTCAGCAATTTGCCTTGCATGGATGTAGATCTGGAAGGAGCAAGATTCATCGATTGAGTAAAACTTCACTTCAAGTCCAACGAGCATCCCAATTTACCAAAATCATTGACAAAAGTACGATCTTTGTTCAATAGCAAATTTGTTGGAGAGATTGAGTATACCTTTGTTCTCGCAACATCCTCTCAAGCTCCTTCTCTGCAGTTTTGATCTGCATTGCTCCAAACATCATACAAGAGGCAGAGGAATAAATAAGTCTTGAAAAGAAAATTTTACAGGGCTCTTCTCATGCAAAATGAAGAATATCTAAGTAAAGCACAACCTCTCCCCTTCCCCTCCCTCGATATGCCAAATTGATTGTGCAACTAGGAAATGGAGAAACTCCTTAAAGAAAAAATAACAGAGACCCTGTCATCTAAGAAACAATATGAATTTTAATGATCGTTTATATTATTCTAAGGAGTTAATACCAACTGGGTCCCTCAACTATTGCGATTTACTTAAAAAGGTCCTCTATTTAACTTAAAAAGACGACTTTGTCCCTGGGTCTAACGGTCAACTAATGGTCAATCTAACAGAGGACCTAACAAGGTAACGTTTTAATAGTTATAGAACTAAATTGAGCAAAAAATTAAACACAGGGCCTTTTTAAGTAAATCGAAATAGTCGAGGAATCTCAGGCTGGTATTAACTCTTAGGCCCTATTTGGTAACATAGTTAGCTTATCAGCTAATTTTGGCTTATTTGACTACTATTAGCTGTTTGACTTAGTTAAACAGCCAATATGAGTGTTTGGTTAATCAACTTTTTGTAACAGCTTATTGCTCTAAAACACTAAAATTCAAAAAGCTGCTCAAAGCATTTTTTTCGATCAACTTTTTGAGAAAATAAATTATACCCTTAAAGGTCATTTTGCATGAAATCAACTATCAGCTAACAGCTAATTTACCAAACATCTTTCTACAACCAGCTAACGCTATCAGCTAGTCAAACCCGTTAACCAATCTGCTACAGCTATTTGCCAAACACCCCTTATTCTAAGATATCCATGAGTAGTTTCTAAAAAAAGATTTGGCAGTAAAGATCATTATAGTATCCCAAGACATTTTAATAGAGCATAAAGCAATTATGGGAATCCCAACAAGCTGGTATGTATAAATAATAAGCAAAAAGCACCACATTACCTCAGATACCAATGTTTTGCAACTCCAAACAAAAGCTCCCTGATAAAAATATTTAAGGTGGAACAATATAAAAATCAACTTCCAAATACAGAACAGCAGTCTACTAAGATTTGCCATAGCTATTTACCATACTTTATAGAAAAGAACAGACAAATGGCCTTTTAGCTCACAGATTTACTACACATGTTTAACAAATCCCATTTGAATGCATCAAAACTTAAGGTTCTGAGGACCAAGACAAGTTGATGGTGTGTTTTCAGAACATTAACACACAGTCACAAACTGATATTTCTGTATAGTGCATCAGCTGACATTACAAAGCTTGCATTCAAATACACCTCTTTACAGCCAAGTTGCACTAGTTTGAGAAAACACAGGAATCCCATCTGAGACAATTTGGTCCTAAAACCCTTTCTAGATGAGTCAAAATGTGAAACTAGACAACCCAAGGCTATGGGGAGATGTAATATATAAATATATACCTACAATTTGGTTCTTCTCCAGTTGGCAATGTCCACCCTTACTAACAGTTATAGCTATTGAAGCCTTCATAGAGGAGTGCAGTATACTATGATTTCATGTGTGAGGAATGAGGGGGGATAATGGTGAGTGAAGACTAAAATAATGTGGGTGTGGCTTACTATAATTTCTTGTGTGAGGAATGAGGAGTTCAGTATACTACTGTGCCAGGACCCTAGCACCATTTGTTTCCCTGCGAGAAACTATTCCAAAATAGCCTTACTATGCCACATGTGATTCATGTGTTCGCCAAAATTATTTCAATTTAGCAGGACCGCCAGAGAGGTAGACCAAGTTGAAACCAGAACTAATTCTTAATGCCTAAATTGGAAGCATTGAAGCTTTTAGGACAAAATTGAAACTAAGCTAGAACTTCTGGGACCAAACTTGAAATTTTGCTAGAGTTAATCAGACAGGATGAGCTAATGGCATGAAGACCGGCAAGCTAGAAATGTGAAAAGTTCTGCTTCAATCTGGAAAAATGACAACAAGGGCTCATAGCAATGCAACCAATTATCCAACAATCACATAATACAGATAAAAGGAAAACCTGCTTCTACCCCACAAGAACTAATAGAAACATGTTTCATGTGATTAGACCTTTACTCCTTTTGTTTGCAATAATAATAATAGTTAATGCGCCATAGTTCAATTATACAGCCAAAGTAATATAATATTCCGTAAGACTTTAGATGAGCTTTCTGGACAAGACTAGGAATAGACAAAATTAGAGAAACAAGGAACTTGACTAATCACTTTCCAAGGAGAGTACATACTGCTCCATAGGCTGCAATTTGTTGATTTAGGTCAGACGTTACAACCCAGACTTCTGGATAGCCATCCCTCCTCAAATCTGCAGCCTTTTTAAATATAGTAAACCAGCAACCATGAGGATAGCATAAGTAGCAATAACTAAAATATCAAGTGTACAACTGTACATCAAATATCAGAATGCAAAATTGCACCAAATTATTGAGCCTATTCTTACCTCTTTCTCAATCCATGCATCGGCACATGTTTCAGTTGAGTACACCACATCAACACTACAAAGCATAATTGATAGTCACATAATTTTATTAAAATCCATAATGCAAAAGAAAGAAAAAAAAAAGTTCCAACAATAGAAAAAGATTTCAAGAACTGAATTTAATCTATTTTCATCATCTTAACAACGATTGTTTAGAGATTTCAACCATTAGCAAAAGTAGAAACATGGGTCACGGAGAATTTACAGTGTTTCCAGAATATAATGATCACATTTGAAATCTGGCAGAAATAATATATACATACAATTAATGAGAATCAGTCAAGGTCAAGGTTCCAAAAATGAATACCCAGCAAATGTTTCCTTGTGAAAAGGCAGCCCAGACATCATGGCATCAAAAACAACAACCACTTTTAGCTCTGCAATTGTTTAAATACAGTCAAAAGAAGCAATCATTAAGACAGATATGTGATTGGAAGCCTAGTAATGAGACAACCTTTTGTGGGGATTATCTGCCAACTTATATCTGCAGTAATCTTAAGTAATTTTATTCAAGAAAATACTTCAACACTAGTATAATTATTAGGGATAAGGACCAAATAAGCCGTCAACTTTTTAGAATAATGCAATTAAATTCTTGAACTCAGAAGAGCTTCAAATAAACACTGGAGCTTGTTTTTTTTTTAATGAAATTGATCCCTGTTTACTAACAGCTACAAGTAAATATGAAGCTAATTAGTGCCAAATCAAACTGATGTAGAAGACAGATCACCCTTTGTTGTTGACATGGGATCCTACACGGCATCCTACATGTATTTTAACCTTTAAACGTGTATTTTTAACCTTTAAAACTATTGAATATTAACTCTAGACTGTAGTAGTGGACTTAGCCCAACTTGATTAAGTCTTATGTGTATAAATAGATCTCTTGAATAGTTTTTTAAATATAAAAATACAATACACCAGTTCTACTTTAACATGGTATCAGAGCCCAAACCCTAAAAAATCTTTGTTTCAAAAAATTTCCAAGTAAAAAGATATAAGTGCTTTCCGATAAGAAAATGAGCTTCTTTAGGCATGAACAGTGATTTTGCAGCTGCCTTTTCTTTTCCAATGCATCTCCAGTGGCTATTTGCTAAAACCTACAGTACCATCACACATAGAATCTCATTGCAACTCTATGCCAGGAACGTCATCACCACATCACCTAAGCTACCAGAACTCTGGTAAGTTTTTCTCAGATCTCTCCGTCTCTAGCAATCTTCTGACCAAACCACCTACAAACGTGTTTCTTTTCCTCCGGCAATCATTTTGGTATATTTTTCTCTAGCCATTTGGGTGTGTTTTTTTTGTCCTGGGCGGCTGGGCATAACTCCTAGGTGTTCCAAACGAGCTGCTCAGCCCTTCAAAATGGCTACCTGTGTTATTCTCCGAAACACAAGCGTCAATTTATCTCTCCTAATGTTACATTCATGAGTCATCCCATTATTTCCGGTCTCCAGTCTCCACCACCAGATCATTTTACCATCTCTGAAATCCTACTTATTCCCTATCTATATGGTTTGAAGCAATCTCCATGAGCTTGGATTAGACGATTCAATTATCTGATTTGTGAATTCGGCATGGTCCATAGTGAGATTGACTATTTTGTGTTCTATCAACACTCAACAAATGGAAAATGCATTTATCTTGTGGTTTATGTGGATGACATTGTGACTACTAGTTGCAATCAAGAGGATATTTGTCAGTTAAAGAATCATCTTTTCAGCAGATTCCAGACCAAGGATTTGGTCTTGGTATTAATATTTAGTAAAATAACAAGACTTGTACATAAGGAGAACTGGAGAAGCAAAGCAAACCTCTAACTGTGCTGAATGTGACCAGTTCATCAATTAGTTTTTGGCGAGCAATGTCTAGTTTTCCATTCAAGAAATGCTTCTTCAACTTAGCCCAAAAGCCACACACATTATAGCCATCAACAAGCAAGACAGGAATTGCAGCAGTGTTTATAACCTCATTTATGCTATTGAAAAATTCCAAAAGAAACAACCATTAATAACTTGCTCAAACTAGAAGTAAAGGGCAAGGAATTTGAATCATGAAAAGACCTAGGAAAAGCATTATAGTAAGGTGTGAGAGCTGGTTCTTCACTGTAGAGCTCTGTATCTTCAGGAAGTTCTTCCTTCTCTGCCTTTTTTTTACGATAACGAGTGGCAGCCTTATTTACTATATGTCTTTTCTTTTCGATCTCCTACAACACAATAAGCACCTTTTGAGCCAGTAGAAATAATCAAGTATAGCTTATTACTGGATTCACCAACCTTCCCTAATTTTATGAATTGCAAATTTTGTTTCAAATTTGACGTAATCCTCGGAGGCTCTGAACCCTATACCAAAAGATCACATTAAAAACTTTCAGTACATGTGCATAATTATTTCACAGAAGAATCATATATACCATCCTCAATCATTCTTAGCATACAGTCTTTACAAATTACAACCACCGAAACATGATGCAAAAATTTGTACCCCTATAAATTTTCAGAACTTTTGTTTGCACTCTAGGCAACTATACAAACAATGTATTACTCATCTCATATTAGGCACGGAGGATTGCTTTCTCATGCAGGGAAATTGCAGGGATGAAGACTCCTTGGTCATCACTGGATGTTGGAGTTGGGAAGTCTTTTCAGAAGAAGGATTCTTAATTTATTAGTTTTAGTTGTTTACAAATTGTAAAAGCAGCTAGCGGTGGACTCTTTTGCAATTTGTAATTGTTATTCTCTAGGTTAGGAAGGCATTGTCTTATAATTAGTATAAATGTTCTAGACTTGGAATAATAGAAGCATTCCTTTCCATTTCAATTGATTTATGCAGACTCATTTCATTTGTCAATTCCGCTTTTCAATTTGAACTCAAGTACTTCAAATCTGTACTTGCTCCAGCTTCCAGCTGTATCACTTTCTACCTTCTCAATAATAATTAAATAAGTCTTTTGTGAGACCATGTCACGTGAGACGTGTAATACTTTTTAGCTAAAATGTACGGAGTAATACTTATAATGAGTCCATAGAAAAATATTTCATTTTAAGTAAAAAGTATTACACGTCCTATGTCAGATAGTCTCACACAAGACCTACTCATCTATAATGTGAAAATAAATAAATAAATGAACTAATATTGTTAATATTCCGCAATATATTACTTCATGGATTTTAACATAATAATCAAATATACCAATTTACTTAATGCACCAAAGCAAGTCTATAATATACATTTAATACAAGCATAATAGGATAATTCTGAACCAATATCTGATGGATTACAATCATCTTTCAATATTTAAGCCATTTTCCCTCATTCTCAGTCTGTATTTTTTCATAACAAATTTCTAACATATCTATATTAGTTTGATAAACACTCCACAAATAGCTACTGTTTGTAATTGCTGCAATCAAAATAAATACAGCCAAACAATACTATCTTCAACTATCCAATCTCATTCTTTGTTTGTGTTTTCTCAATAACAATATACTCATATACTAATGTCTACTTTAGTTTGATGAACATTCTACATAAGTTTACAAAATTCTATTTCCTTAAAGACTCAGATATGGTGCCACTTTTCCTAATTGCTGCAACCGAAATAAATACAACCAAACAATACTATCTTCTGCTTATGCGATCTCACAGAATCACAGGACAGTTTGGCTTGATGCAAGCTACTAAGACATTGGTTACAAGAAACCAGTCCTCAAATAATCCCCGCCCCCTCCCCCACCCCCCCCCCCCCACCCCCAATTACTTAATTGCAAGCCTTCATCTTGGATTAAAACACCTGCTGCACCATTGACACACTGCCCCATTGATCTTTCACAAAGCTTTCCTTGGTCATTCAATCACTAGAACCATTTCATTTGCATTTTAGGAATGATTACAGAACATTTTTCAGCCATTGAATAGTGAGTGTGAACACATTTTAGTATTTAAAAATACATAACAAACAGTTTCCTGTTTTAGAGCATACAAATTCATTCAGTATTTTCAAACAATAACTCCAATTACACATAGTAGGTGAATTCATATCTTAACCTTTTGAATTCAAACTCACTCGCACTCAAAGTTTCCAATTTCAAGTTGACTCGAACACTGAAACCATAATTAATTCACGTTGTGACAAAGAATACAAACAAGGAATCTGAGAATTTATCAAAATGAGAGATAGAAGTGCACCTTAGGAGAAGGTGGCTGCTTGGATTTGTTATTGCTCTTCTTTGCCACGATTTTTGAAGAGGTATAGTCGCGGCCACAACCATCAGAAGACCGAATAAATCTCAAAGAAGAGAGCGACGCTGATAATGCAGCTAAGGATGATATGCCTTTCATGGGATTGTCCACATTTCACTATCCTTCAACTTCTCGAAATTTTATACTAAAGAAAGGTTAATCTTTTGTGCCCTCTTAAATTACCAACGAAATATGATATAGATACGATTTTATGTGTCTGCCTTCACTTTGTATTTTGAGCAATTTCCATGGCGAAATAGCAGAGAAACAGTACCCGTCGCCCTAGACCACTCGTTTGTACTTAGCTCTACTCGGAAGAGGAAAGCAATTAGAGCGAAGGTGTTCATGAAAATAAATTACTGTTCTGGTCATATTACTCTTGCTAAATTTTCCTTTTCTGATTATTTTCTAGTAGTTAATCATCTTATAGAACGGATTAAATTAGTTTACCCAAGTCTAATTAGGTTGTCAATGAGGTTGTGATTTAATGGCACTAATAGTAATTTGCTATTTCATATGGGAGGTTATTGGTTCTAGTCTCAATAGAGATGATATTTACTATTTGTACTTCAATAGATTGAGAAAGTAATATTTTTTTTAAATAAAAGACTAATTCATTAATCATAAACAAAAATATTTACAATATAGATCGTTAGAATGATAGCTCATTATTTACCGTCATACATAGAAACAAATTTCATAGCAATGTTATAGAAAACTTGGATCGTAGACTGTTTTATAAATTTGAAGCCGAAGTTATTGGATGAACTCGGTGCTTCTTCACAAATATGGTCAAACATAGCCAAGTTTGACTCTGATGTGACCATTTTATCATTCCACACTTATGATGAGAACTCGCCAAAGAAATGAGAGAAAAACTCGTCAAAGAAACGAGAGAAAAACTCGTCAAAGAAACGAGAGGGAAACACTCGCCAGAGAGACAAGAGAAAACAAACTAGTCAAAAGAACAAAGGGATAACGTAGAACCAATAGAAAACAAAATAAATGCAAAAGATGATAGAAAATCTGTCAAATCTGGAGAGTCTCTGACGCCTTCTCTGAAAAAACGATCGGAGATAATCTAAGATCTAACGCTTATTCCTAAAACAGCCAGAGGATGGAGTCTAATAATGGCGCCGCCGGCTCAACCCTCCAATAGAGCGACAGCCGGCAACGGGAGGATGCAGTCGCAGGGTCTTTACAGACGAAAAAGGGAGAGAAAACAGTTAAGTTTTTTTTATAAAAATTCAGGAAGAGGTTGAGAAAGTAGTTATGAACAAATATTGCATTGTAATAGAGTCAGTATAATAATAATAAAAAGTCTAACTAATTATATTGAATATGAGTGTTCAAATATCCAGATGATGCAAGGTATCGGATTTAGGTCGTGCGATTAAAATTGGTGGATCGGGTTGACCACAAACCTACCATAGTGGACCATCCACCAAGTGGGGCGAGACCGTATGGTACCTCCCCCTTACGCACATCCATCAATAGTCGGTACTGGCTAACTACAGTATGCCACCCATGGTCACACTGACACCCAAGTCTTGAATGCGCATAATTTGTTAACTGAATATTATTGGATTGGGTCGAATATCTCAACATCAAGTTCAGATATCCATATTATGCAAGGTATCGGAGTCAGGTCGCGTGGTTAAAATGGGCGGGTGGAGTTGTGCACAAGCCTACCATAAAGGGACCATTCACCTGGTGGGCGCGAGGCCGTATGGTACCTCTCACTTACGCACATCCGCCAATAGTCAGCGCTGGCTAACTACAATATGCCACCCCTGGTCGCACTAACGCTCGAGTCTTGAATACACATAATCTGTTAACTAAATGCACATAATCTGTTAACTACATGCACATAATATGTTAATTGCAAACACATAAATTTTGGACCAACGTTCACAATGCAAGATGAACTCTAGTACATGGTTATCAATGCGGACTTTTTGGGCGAGATGCCATCGACTGCCTAGTCGACTAGGCACCTAGGCGATGAGTATTAAATAAATAAAAAAGTATATATATATATATATATATATATATATATATATATATATATTGAAAATATATTGTCTTGGACAATCTTTTTACTCGCCTATTTACTTCAAGTTATCTTTAGTTGATGAATAGTTTTTTATTATTGTATTAGGTTTGTTGTTTTATTTTTTTACAAATACCTGAGCCAAAGCCTATAATGGCCTTGAGCAATAGGGCCTACTTCGCTTCCTCAATAGGCAGATATAGAGCTGCGACTGGGAGTAATAGAGCCCAAGAATTTAACCAAGAGCAGCCCGATTCAACCTTGTTCTGTTCGAATTCATTTTTATGCCGATTTACCGACCACACCATTTCGATGAGTTTGGGTCAATCTAGAAATGCTGGGCTTCCGCTACTGAATCTTGTGAAGCTAAAAGGAGTGCCCATTTTGCAGCAACTGCATCTTGAGGAACGGCTGCTACGAACTTCATCCGATAATTGGTGCATCATTAATGATGGAACGAACACACCCACCATTGTTATGGGTATCTCTGGGTAAGCTTTACTCATCGAGATTTCTATTGCATTCGAAAATGAAGCTGATTACTTAATGCTAACAATTGATCATGTTGAACATGATAAGGTTATGTGTATGAATGTGAATGAATGATTTGAGCTACAAAATCTTAGCTGAAGTTATTGATTAATTGCCAAAAGAAAAATTTTTAAGTGGATACAATCTTGGGCTTGCTAAATTTATGAGGATGAATGGTTGCTGTTATGTATATCATCTGGCTTGAATATTTGATAATTTTGATGCCAATATGTCATGGATCTGTCTCTCTCTACATGAAGGATGATAGAGTTCCAAAGCTCTTACCTTTATAGCTAATTACTTTTGGCATTGCAGTTAGTTTGAAGTTTGATTGCTTTTCATTTAGGCCCTGTTTGGTAAATGACGGTTAGCTGATAGCTGTTAGATGTTAGCTGATTGTGTTAATTAGAGGGTATAACTAGTTGATAACATTAGCTGTTGTAGAAAAGTGTTTGATAAATTAGTTGTTAGCTGATAGCTGTTAGATGTTAGCTGATTGTGTTAATTAGAGGGTACAACTAGTTGATAACATTAGCTGTTGTATAAAAGTGTTTGATAAATTAGTTGTTAGCTGATAGCTGCTAGATGTTAGCTAATTGTGTTAATTAGAGGGTATAACTAGTTGATAACATTAGCTGTTTGATATAATTTCTTTTCTAAAAAAGCTAATTGAAAAAGTTGTTTGGAGAAGCTTTTTGAATTTTAGCATTTTGGAGTTGCAAAAAGCTAATTAATCAAACACTTATATTGATATTTTAACTAAATCAAACAATTAATAGTGATCAAAAAAGCCAAAATTGGCCTATAGGCTAATTTTTTTACCAAACAGGGCCTTAGTGTTTTCTGTATGTTTTCATCAAAGATTTCTTTTTGTAAGCTTTTTCTATGTTTTTTATTTTTTTTTATAGCAATCCCACTGAACTTCTTGAAATCAATTATGTTTTACGAGACAAGATACCAGTTATCAAAAGGTTTACTGGTGGAGGTACTGTAATAGTTGATCATGGGACAATATTTGCAACTTTTATATGCAATAAGGATGATGTTCCCAGTGTACAACCGTATCCCCGACCTATCATGTCATGGAGCAGCTTATTATACAGTAAGGTATTCCAAGGAGTTGGGGATTTCTACCTTCGTGAAAATGGTAAGTTCATTCTAAGTTCCTTTCGTTTTAAGATCGTAATTCCTTATCATAAATTTCACTTGTTTCTCAAATGTTTGGTCTAGATTAGAACCTCCCTAGCTAGCTTTTGTTCGTTGGTTGGCTATAAATCTAGGACAAAAAATGGAATTAATTCATGATTCAACCTTCATTGTCATGCTCAATTTCTCTTGGGTATCAAATTTCTTTTCCTCTCTTTAGTTAGGGGGGGGGGGGGGGGGTGAATTTTTTCTCATGCCTTCATCTACTTTAATGCAACCTAAGTAGTTGTGTTGTACAAGGTGGCCACAATCATGTCATGTATTTATGTAAATTCTTTCAGATTATGTATTTGGCAACCACAAGTTCGGTGGAAATGCTCAGTCTATAACAAAGAACCGGTGGATCCATCATACCTCTTTTCTATGGGACTACGAGATCTCAAACATGGCATATCTGAGTCTTCCAAAGAAGGCCCCTGATTATAGACAGGTTTGCTATTATATCTGAGACTTCAATTTCACTAGAACCATTTCATGTCGCCCCTGATTTTTATCACGTGCTTTATAACTCGGCCTAATGATGGTAGCAGTTGCAATTTTCTTTCTCTGATCTAAATGAACCAGTCTTGTAATGCAGTTAAGACTTGGGGAATGTTAGCTAAACGTAACATACATAAAAGTGTATGTTATGTATGTTACAGAGGAAAATGTAAAGGGAACCTCGGTTTCCAAGTAACATTGTATATTTCTTTGCCTGCATAATTTGCATTTGCCATTTCAGTGTTATTGCTGCATAGTTTTGAACTCAAATTTTCATTTTGATGACTCATTAGACACACACTGAACACAACCCCTCCTCATTCTCCTGTTTATGCCAAAAGTGCATCTGTATTCTATCATTCCACTTTGTGTATTGTTGGGCGGAGGCCAGTAAGGGCAAGTCTAGCACCCTGGCTCTCAAAAATGTGATAGCGGTTTATAAGAAAATAAAGTTGTACATTCGTTACTAGCTATAGCTTTTGGCGTAGTGGTAAACGCCTGATCTTAACAAGTGGTATCAGAGTCAGGTCTAGCAGACCAGCACCCTGGCTCTCAAAAATGTGATACTGGTCTATAAGGAAATAAAGTTGGGCCTTCGTTACTAGCTATAACCACGCTTGATCCTAACATGTACGTGCCTAAATTTGCAATCGAGATCTCTCATTCTCTCTATCGTTCCCTTTGTATATTCAGGCAAGAGACCATTCGGAGTTCATATGCCGCATGAAGGACTACTTATCCAGGTCACAATTCATCAACCGGACGATCGATGCAGTGAACTGTCATTTTTGTGTGAGATCAATGGAGGTGGAAGAAGCTGAGCTTTTGTGTGACATGAAATTTTCACCCTCTTCTAGGCTACTTGGAAAGCAAGAGTTGGGGGAGGCAGTTCTTACTTGAGTCCCAGCCTGAGAACACCATATTGCAGTCATTGTGATTTTTCATCTTTTCATATGAGAACCACCATTACCATGTGTGTGTTTCATATTTGTACACATCCACTCCAGTTATCAATTTGTTTTTTTTTTTTTAATATTAATTATAACTTAGTTTTAGCAAATAAATTTTGTAAATTTAGAATCTTTTGAGGTTATGTACGGTCGAGACATTACTTGGCATTTTAGTCTGTTAGCTAGGAATGAGACAAATTGTTAACTTTTTTCGTGTCAAATAGATTAGTGAACTTATTGTTTTTGTACAATTGAGTTACTGAACATAAAAAGTGTACAATTGAACTATCAAACAAGCAAAAATATATACTTCGTATGTACAATTGGGATGTAACATAAGTTTGAAACATTTCAATCTTTCATCTCAACTAATATTATTATAAAGAAAATGATGATTATTAGTACGTCCCATATAATTAATATGATTGGATTATATTGAGAAATTTTTTAAAAATATTATAATTGCACATATTATACTATTTTAATGATTTAATTGCACACTTTACAAATTCAGTAATTCAATTATACAAAAATAATAAATTTAGTGATTTATTTAACACTTTTTTTCTTATTCAATTAAGTATCTAAATACATTATTTGTTTGAGTTAGGAAGTGAATTTGTCATTTTTTTTTTCTTAAAAAATTGAATCAAATCGCAAAGGCTCTTATTGAGTTCTTGTCCTACATCTACAACTTTCCCAAAGTGCTTTGAGACTAGTCTTCACAACTTAACTAGTTCAAGTGTACTGTAGGGTACTCAAAATAGAATAATGTTTTGACACTACAAATATATGAACTAAATAATACGGAATTACGGAGGTACATTCTTTTATCTTTGGTAAAAATTTTACTAAAACAATGGGTCAAATTAACAATGCAATCAAATACCAACCCATTATATATATATCAAGTTGCCTCAAATTCAGGATGCTACATATATACATATATGTGAGCTCTTGGATCACTTCCAGTCCTTTGAGGACAAGCTTGAATTGTTCAGCAAGAAAGGTGTAATGGTTTGTTCTAGGGTAGGTTACACCGTATGAGGGAGAAGATTGGATTGGATCGGATCGGATCGGACTAATCCCTGTTCGTTCCGAGAGGTATGGGAGCAGAATCGAATCTAGGTTATCCCTATGATCGTCCCCGTACAAAAAAAGCTCTTTTGTCACTTCAGCTATTCCTTTAGATTTTGATTATTGCTTCTAATGCTATTTTTAATTGGAATTGACATTTAAGTTTGTTATTTTTTTTTATTTTTTATTTAATAATCATAAAATCTGTAATCAATGGTATACACTTGATTGATGTTACTCTTATATAATAGTCGACAAATCATAAAGAAAGACCTAAAAGAGTATTGACGAGATTCAAACTTATAACCTTTTAATAAGAAATTATACTTCAGGTACACTCAATCACTGAGATTATTATTCCTTTTTTCTTACTTGCTAAGGTTGAGTTTCCTATTTTGTTGCTTGTTAACGTTGCATTTGGTTCTGACTTTGACTAAGAGATGTGTGTGTAATTTGTTCGGACCTTAGGATCACCGGCCTAATCAAATCACGTGGTTCACTTTATGTTCAACCCCAAGATCCAAATTATATTTTTGGTAATTTTAAATATTTTTCTTTACATCATATTTGATATAAGATATAAGAAATTGCTAAAAGAAAATATTGTTTTTCCTTTAAATTTAGCTTTTAATGTTTGCATCTCACAAAAAAAAAAAAAAAAATGATACGCCTGATTGCATATTAATCATATGAATAAATCGTGCATCTTAATTAGTGGCAGTTAATTGTATTCTTAAAATTAGTGATTTAGTGAGAGAATTAGTAGAGTTGTCAAAACGAGCCGGCAGGATAAACCCGCCATATGGCTAGCGGACTAAAAAACACGCTAAATTACGGGCCTAAAATAGGCCGTTCGCCTTAGACCCGCGGGTTTTGGTGGGGACTCGTCAAATCTAAAAAGTTTTAAATCTAAAAAGTTTTAAATCTAATAAGAGTCAATAATGTTAGGCCCTTAACTGGAATAAAAAATTATCGGTAATAGTCGTTTCTTAAAATGAATGGTTCATATTATTTTGATTTTAGTACTCTTTAATAATTTTCCTTATTTACCCTCTATTATATTATTTTCTTTACTTAAATAACCCTAAATTCTGTTAGTATATAAACTTTAGTAACGAAATATTCTGTTAACTATTTATTATTCTTAACATACTTATTAATTTATATAATAAAGGTCTTAGGTTCGAACCCCGACCCAATTAGAGTTGGCGTAATTGTTAAACATATATTATGAATATGTTAAAATGTATTAAAAAAATATATAATATAAAATTTAACATAAACTTTGGTAAAATAATTAGCCCAATTAAATACATAGCATTCAAAGTTGAACATCAAAGATTATAAATCCGGAACTTTAAAAATTATTTGATTTTCTTGAATTAAAAAAAATTAGGTTAAGTTTTTTTTTTTTTTTTTTAACGTTTAATTAATCTTTTTTGATTATTTAGAACAAAACTTAATATTTCAATTATGCTTTTACATTATTGGAATGATTTAGGCCATTATGGTATTAATATTTTTTGTATTTTTTTTTTTTTTTTTGTAATGGTACAATTTTATACTCATTATAGGCTTAACTCTCTTGGACTCTTATTAGTATAGTAGATAGTAGATATATATATATATATATATATATATATATATATATATATATATACAAAACGAGGGCTATTGGTGCTCTATTGCAGGTCAATCTAGTGAGGCTATTGGTGCTCTATTATATTATTGCAGGTCGATCTTGTGAGCAATTTATCTATGTCCACAAACAACAATCTAATCAAACAGTATCGAAATCAGCAAGACATGACTATGTTCATATGAACAAGATATTTTTTTAAAAGGTGGAGAGTGATACACCCTTGATTACATATTACTCAAAGGGATAAACTCTGCATCTCAATTAGTGAGAGGAATTAGTAGGAGAATTAGGATAATACAATATAATTAGTGAGATAGTTAATATTATTCATAAATTAACATTAAGAATATTTATTTATTTATTTATGAAGCTCCTATATTGTAAATGGAAACTATATTGAAACTATTCTTCCTTTGGAGATTATATTCTTTCTGTCTTTTTAATCTTTTTGTTCTGTCTCCTTAATTTTTCTTTATTCTCTCCCTATCTCTTTAATCTTCTCCTAAAAGGTTGAATTTCCAATTCTAAGAGTTCCCACACTCCGATCCGATAAAGTATTTAGAAGGATGTAAATTATGATGACTTAATGGCTCAACAGATAAGATCAAAATGTCAGCACACAAGAAATCAATATTTTGATGTATGTCTCCTTAATATGTTTTCTTTTCCTCTTCTATTGTTATTCTTAAAGTCAGCACTCAGTTGAAATAATGTATCTTAATTAATATATACGAGATGTATCTAAAAAACCTCTATATTTATTGATGGTTCATAAATTGGTTGCCCATTACGTGGCATCACTCCAAAACTAAATAGAATACAATATTTTAGGTTACTTTCTTGTATGCTAAAATGTAGACAAAAACATGTCAATTTACTATGCATTTATAGATACACTAAAACATACACTATCACAATCTTGTGATTGGCAAGGGAATACTAAATGGAGTCTGACTGCACAAGTGGGGCAGCCTCAGTATAAGTGACGAAAAGTGGCTTGAGAATGCTCGGATTACGCCACAAAACTCTCCGCAAACTTTTCATCTAACGATAATCTTGTATGAGATTATCTTATGGATCTTTATTCGTGAAACGAATTCAATCAAGATAGAAATGTAATATTTATATTAAAAAATGTAATACTAATTAGAAATAAGGTGTTTGTTACTCCATAAGAGAAAATGTAATATTTTTATGGCGTGTTTGGTTCATGAAATAGGTCGGGAATGGAATACCATTACCAAAAATAGATCTATTATATTGTTTGTTTTGTCATTTTATTCAAGGGAATAACGTTCCTGGGAATGAGCTATTCCCTTTGCAGGGGAATAGCCATTCCTAGGGGACCCCCTGGTATTAGCTATTCCCAAGTATTTGAGAATAGGTTTAGTACTATAATACCGAAAATACCCTACCACCGTCACCACTGACGCCGTCTCCACTACCACCAACCCACCACCGCCACCACCACCAACCCACCACCTCCACCGCCACCACTGCTACCACCGCCACCACTGCCACCACAACCATCGCCGTCACTGCTACCACCATCGCCACTGCTACCACCGCTACCGCCGCCGCCACTGCTACCACCACCGCCACCGCCACCACCACCTATTTTGATAAGGGTATTTATGTCTTTTGAAACATATTTCATTCTATTCCTTAAATCAACCAAACACTATAATATAATTCCTAAAGTCTATTCCTTCCGCGAACCAAACAATATAATACAATTCATATTCTATTCCTTGCATATTCCATTCCTTATGGAATAGCATTCCTATTAGCTCAAAATTTATTCTGTGAACCAAACATGCTGTTAATGTTACAAACACTTAAGGGTACGGTTCATGATTAGTATTACACTTTCGCCAAACACATTGTGCTCAGATGACACTTCTGTGGCTCACTTTGAGGGAAGGTCACAGGATTGAACCCTGGTGGTGGTGGGGTGTTGACTCTTTGAGCTGCATTAATTAGAGAAAGTATAGAAGTATATTACCTTGTAATAGAGTCAATAGTATTTAAAAAAAAAAAAGTAATACACTTTCCATAAATATAACATTTTCATTTTGACTTGACCCATCTAATGGATCTTATATAAGTTTTATAGCGCAAATTATTTTGTGAACCCGGGTTTAAAGGATTACAATTTACCTTTTAAAAGTTCACAATTTGTATAGTACGAACACACAATGCTAACATATATGTAATTAATTACCTTGTTTTGTATTCACAAGTTCCATTCAAATACTGCAGCCGTATAATATTCACAAATTCCTTGTATTTTGATTCATAAACACAATTTATATTCTAGAAGTTCACAATTCCAATACTAAAAATACACAATTTATATGTCATTTAGGACTAAAGTAAACCCTGGTTTATAGTATAACAACTCGTTTTATAGCTGCATTGGATCCCTATATATGAATTCTTTATATATACTTAATTCTAAACCCTCTCTCTTTCTTCATAAATTCCGTGTTGGAGGGGAAACTGTGCAGATCGTCAAAGCAAGTTTATATATTTTAAAGCAACTAGTAGTAGCATAATATTATATGACATCTTTGAGTAAACCAATTACCAAGACCACTAATGGCTTCTAAATTAGTAAAAATTCCAATCCCCAAGTCTCATCAACATATATTTCCCAGAGAGTTTTGAGAGAGAGGCAATTCAAAGTGGAGAGAAATGAGAGGTGGGAATGAAGATTATCTGCCCAGAAAGCACCCACAACATGCCAAAACCCAAATCAAGTTTAAGCTCAAGATTCTTGTTCTCATTGTGCTAACCAATCTTCTCACTCTATACATCTTCACTGGCCCTATTAACTTGACCACAACTACTTCTAACTATGCTCACAACCTTCCTTTCTTGGGCTATAACTCCCTCTTCCAAGAGCTTAATTCCACCCAAAGGGAACTCAAAGCGAGCCGGTTAGATGTCACGGATTTGCTCGAGAAGCTCAGGTCGAGTGACCGTCTTGTTGAGGCACTCCTATCTCAGCTAAACGTGCTCAACCGGGCCATTAACCAAACCCCGGATTCGAATGTTGTGTTGAGTTACGATGATCTTCTTGCTGGCTTGTCAGATGAAGCTAGGCTTTCGATGGGTTCTCACAAGCTTCCCTTGGGGTATGCGCCTCGAATGGGGTCAGATGAAGTTTATCCCTCGGTTGGAGGGGCGTGTATGAGGTATAGAGAAGAGCTGGCACAGTATATGAGTTATATTGTGGGCGAGGAGTGCCCGGTGGATGATGTTTTCGCCCAAAAGATGCTTCTGAGGGGCTGCGAGCCGCTTCCCAGAAGACGGTGCCACCCAAAATCGCCCGTTGGCTATACCGAGCCAACGCCATTGCCCGATAGCCTCTGGTCTACGCCCCCCGACACGAGCATTATATGGGATCCATATCCCTGCAAGAGCTATAAGTGCCTCATAGAAAGAAGGCTCAATCCAGGGTTCTATGACTGTAAGGACTGTTTTTACTTACAAGGCAGGGAGAAGCATAGGTGGTTGACTGACAATGGAGGCCTGGATTTCGGGATTGATGAAGTTCTCGCTACGAAGCCAAATGGCACGATCCGGATAGGCCTGGACATCGGGGGAGGTGCAGGCACATTTGCAGCCAGGATGAAGGAGAGGGACATCACCATCATCACTACCTCGATGAACTTCGATGGCCCTTTCAACAGCTTCATCGCCTCGAGGGGGTTGCTCTCGATGCACCTCAGCGTCTCCCAGAGGCTCCCGTTCTTCGAAAACACACTGGACATCGTCCACTCGATGCATGTTTTGAACAACTGGATCCCCCATAATATGCTCGAGTTCACACTCTTCGACATATACCGGGTGCTGAGGCCTGGCGGGCTGCTCTGGCTCGACCATTTCTTCTGCATTGCGTCTCAGCTCAACGGCACTTATGCTCCCATGATTGACCGGGTCGGGTTCAAGAAACTCAGGTGGCATGCTGGGATGAAGCTTGATAAAGGCAAGGACAAGAATGAATGGTACTTCTCTGCTCTCCTGGAAAAACCAATGACCTGATTAAGGTTATCTTGTAGTCCTATGAATAGTGAATACCATGTTGTATTGCTGTAATCTATCCAAACCTTAGGATAGCCAAAACTCTATACTTTCAGTCAATTCAGATTTGCCATTCAATAATATATATGCTACTATACACTTGATCCATCTCCATTCTCCAAGAAATAATGCAAACATATAGAAATGTCACAATAGAACAAAAAGTTGTTCAAACACTCGAAAAACTGTTTTTATCTTCACTTGGGAAGCACCCCAGTGTAGACCGAGAGGCTTTCGTCGCTGTAAGGATGTTCGGAGCCTTTGCTCACTCCCGAATAGCTCTCTGAAGTCGAAGCCGAGTCGGCGTGAGGGTTTAGCCCCACCATTTCCATGATGCTCTCGATCTCTTTCACCACTTCTCGCATTGTTGGGCGTTGGGCCGCCACGTCTTCGAGACACCTCAAGGCTACATCGACGAACTTCTCTAGACTTCTAGGCGTCACGCTCGAGGCAATGGACGGGTCGAGAATGCTTTGAAGGTCGTACATGTCTTTAGTCTTGTCCATTGCTTGCTTCACTTCCCGAACAATGTACTTTCCTTTCTCGATAGGCGGCCTTGCGGTTATAATCTCCAGAAGCACCACCCCGAAGCTGTAAACATCGCTCTTCTCTGTCAACTGGTTCGTCATGTAATATTCGGGATCCAAGTACCCCTATTCAAACAAGACCAATTCAATAATCGTTCGTCACGTAAAGGAACAACGTGTTAAATATCGGATAACAATAGGCTTCACTCACCATAGTTCCTTTAACTTGAGTGGTGACATGAGCCTTCTCTTGTTCGCCTAGAGACTTGGAGAGACCGAAATCTGCAACTTTAGCATTCAAGCGTTCATCCAGCAGAATATTATTTGTTTTGATGTCGCGGTGGATGATGGGCGGGTTTACAAGGTCATGAAGATACTGCAGCCCTTTGGCCGCTCCAAGAGCAATCCTAAGTCTCCTCATCCAATCTAACTTGATTCCAGATTTCCCTGTCAGACTTTCTTTCAGTGTACCATTTGGTATAAATTCATAGATTAGTATCTGTTCGCCTTGATCAAAACAAAACCCAACAAGGTCAACGACGTTCTTGTGGTGAACCCTCGAGAGAAGCTCAATCTCAGATTTGAACTCGGGAGCGCCCTGCATAGATCCTTGCTGAGATCTTTTGATGGCAATTAGTTGTCCATGAGGAAGAATTCCTCTGTATACCTGAAACATTAAAAACATACTTTGAATTATAGTTGTTTACCTTGTTCTAATCCTAAGATCGGGCCAAATCCAATCTAACCGGTTGGAGAGCACCCTAAACAAGCTTAAGGTCACTCAACTAGGTTGTAATGCACATGGGTCTAAAAGACTGAATCCAACCAATTAGCTAGTCTAATCCATAGCCATATAAACTCATGGGACATGACTCTTAACACCTTCCAAAATGGAAGCAACCAGATCATGAAATATGACCAACTAAAAGCGTAAGCTAATAGTTAGATTGCACATTAATGGTTATACGCTCAACAAGAGTAATCAAAAGGAGAAAGAAAAAGGAAAACGCATAATGCAATATAACCTATATCGAGTATAATCTAAAGGGGATGACAAATGAAGAGGAGAAATGGAATCTAACCTTCCCATAACCTCCAGATCCAACAGTATTGGCTTCTGAGAAGTTATTTGTGCATTTCGCGAGCTCTTCAAACGAGAAAAACTTTGCTCCCTGTAGTTGGGGGACAGCGCCACTGCTTTTGGATCGATCCCAGGATGCTGTATATTTATATATAGGGAAAAACGGTGAAAACTATGGTCATATCACACGAGTAACATTAAGTAGTTTCCTCATCTTACCGAAAGGATCATTCTTTTTAGCTGCATCTTGAGCTTTTCTCTTTTGGCAGAATGCATAAACTCCGATTATGAGTACTAATATCACAAGGACTGAACCACCAACGGCTGCTCCAATTATAACTCCTATACTCAATGACTTGCCCGATCCTGTGGACTCACCTGGTAATGGATACCATATCGACACAAAGAGATAAAGATGAATGTGAATGACAATATGATAAACTACGTATATCACAAGTAATCCTATTACCATCAAAGAATTTATAGTTAACATCGGGATCAAAGTAAAACGGTCCAAACGATGGAGGGGGCTTGAAAGTCTGATTGCTAAGTCCAAATCCGATTGCAGAAACTCCAGTCCGATTGAAATGGTCCATGCCATATGGGAAAACTTGCAGGTGCACTACAAGATAATCATCCGGGTTCTTTGTCGGGTTGCTCAGGGAAACTGAATCCACCGGGAGCTGTTGAGATTTGAATGAACGCATCATAGACACTTGAAGGGAATCGAATATGCTCGAGTTTTCCAAGTTGGAGAAGGAAGGGGATCTAAAAACTAGATTCCCGGTATAGGGATAAGCACATGCACAATTAGGACTGGATATTTGATCAGAGCTACACTGAGTACGTAAGCAATTATTTGTTGGAGTTGAATAAGAGGAACTAGACAGTTGGGGAACGGCGCAATAACTTCCACTGCTTACTTCGAGACAAAATGGATTGCTTACGAGACTGCAAAACAGGAAAAGTAAAACCGTGTGATCATAGCATAATACTAGTCTTGTAAATAAAGAATCCCTTAGTTTCGAAAGGGCTTCAGCTTACCTAATCTGAAAGTGATATCCTTGTCTCTGTGTAAATGACTCTATAAGATTATTCCGCAGATCGATTAGTTGCAACTGGCTGCTGTAGTTGGGGCCAACATTCAGTGTGCCATTAAGTTTGTTATTCTTCATGATGCTGTAATTTAAATAAAAAAAAAAAATGTATACATATTCTGTCATTATATTGCATATTGGAGTATAGAGCTAATATCACAGGAGACAAAACTTGTATGATCTTTCATGTATGATTCAACGAATTTGGGCACATCGAGTGCAACTGGTTGAAACATGTGCTCCATCTCACGTGTGTGACCTGTTGACGGGCTCAAAGCAACACGTGGACCATGGTCACGTACCAAATTAAAGCATGTGCCCATCTCAACGCCCACACCCCAGCCCGACAGAGCATTTGGGAGGATGTAATCACTGTAACTCAGTGGCTCAGCAGACAAGGCTAAATGCCAGTACACACAAGGGAGGTCTCTTCTTCCAAATACTGCCTACTGAACTAGTGAGCTAATCCCGTGCGGGCATCTCAACTAAAAGTCTAAGCTTATAGTTGGATTGCACATTTATGTTTATATATTATATATGCTGAACATAAAAGTAAGAGCAAACTCACACATTCTGCAACTGAACAAGACTGAAAAGTGATGGTGGAATAGGTCCTTCTAGTCCTGTATTATCCAATACTCTGCAAGTACAATGTCCATGAATAAGGTTCAGAAAACAAGTAATATAAAAGATACAAAGAAATTCACTCTCTTTGAAGAAATGGAGACAAACACACATATACAGAGAGAGAAAGAGAAAAGAAAGCAGTACAATGTTGTAAGAGACTCCAAAGTCGAGAACCATGACGGGAAATCTGTTGGATCGAAAGTGTTATTGCTCATATCTCTGCAATATCACCCGTTAATTCGTATTACTAACACAGCTGCTGCTGTTATTAACAATAACAAAATTGTTTTGGACAAAGAATAATCATGAAATCCCGGGTAATAATGTCGGAGCATACACAGAGTTGAGAAGACTCATGTCAGTGAGGTTTGGGAAGGGGCCTTTCAAATTATTGTTTGACAAGAACCTGCAGATGCATAGTTAGAAAAAAAAAACAAAACAAATAATTCAGTCACAGCTCGATTAGCATGACTTCGCAGAACAATAATATAGACATATCCGTGTGCTTACAGTTCACTAACGGATGTGAGATTGTTAAGGTTCGATGGAACAGATCCACTCAACAAATTCCTGTCAAGACGGCTATTGCAAGAACAAATATTTCGGTTCAAATTAGGTAACGAATGCATAGTCAGCAGTAAACCATTAGCGTTTGATAACTTAAATAGAAGATGGAAATACTTACACAACCTCCAAAGACTGAACTAATCCCAATGTTTCCGGGATGCTTCCTGTAAGCTGATTACGCTCGAGCAACCTGCTCGAATTGAATAAATAAAGAAACAATTGCCCATTCATAAGTGTCAAGCTAAAAGTTTTGCAAGTCCACTTTACTGTTAACTATATCTGTTAAGAGTTCGTTCTACATTGAAAAATAAGAGAGAAATATATTGGTTTATAAGGCCATGAGTCAGACTAGCTAACAGTAGATTGAGTTGAGAATTAATATAAAACATAATTCTTTTAGCATAATCCGTGCAAGAATTTAAAGGGATAATGCTAGTTAAGTGGAACTCACAAATGCTTCAATTTCATATTCGAGCTGAAAAGCTGAGCTGGAATCTCGCCCGAGAATTTGTTCCCTCCAAAGTGACTACAAAAGAGTGGATATAGCTTGAAGATCAAAGCAAGCGAGACTAACAAACATTAGATAAAATGGACGAAACATACAAGTGTTTGGTTCCGACAAGCATATCAAGACCAGGTGTGTTCCCGTCAGAGACGGGAATACTTCCAGTAAGCTGATTGTCAGCCAAATCGAGCCAATAGAGTTCCGACAATTGACCCAAGGAAGGCGGTATTGGCCCAATGAACTTGTTTAAATTCAGTGATCTGCATAAAAAGTAACAAGTGAAAAATCAACTAAGCTACGCCAGCAAAGTATCCTCAAAAGAATATTTCTATATTAGCTTCGTTCTCATTCAAATACCAAAGTAAAAATCCTTACAGATATTTCAGCTTGCTCAAAGATCCTATCGAGTCTGGAATTAGTCCAAAAAACCCACACCCAACAAGGATTCTGTTAATATGGGCATGAACCATTAGTTTAGAATAGCGTCAACTAAAATTGTATTTACTACAATATTCAGATTTCTCTTACAGATTATACAACTTCTTTAAGTTTCCAATTTCCCGAGGAAGAGATCCTGTCAAATCTTTGTTGTATGATAGATCCCTACAAAAAGTAGCCAATAACAAATGAAATGTAGATTGACAAGTTTGTATGCATGGAGAAAATGAGAAATCTCTAAGACTTACAGAAT